ACGTTTCTCCATTTAACCGTAGTATCGCCCTTTTTGTTTTGTCTTTATCAGACCATCAACTAACTCCATGTCTTCCTAAGTAAGGAAATCCTTATGTCTAGAGTTCTTCAACAGAAGCATCGGACAATTTGGCGGTAAAAAATATTGCCTGCATCACCGCACTTTAGCTTACTTTGGTTAATGGAATGTTCGTTGCATGTTTCGGCCAGTCAAGTCTAATTAAATTGTACATGCAAGTAAGTGCGGAGGCTCGAAAAGGCAAATTCGTGGTTGTGGAATGTGCAGAAACTTATTTTTACGTCTGATGAATTCGGTACCTGGTTCTCTTCACTTGAAGCCCGGGCTCGTCACGAGTCTTGTGAGTCCAACAAGAAAGTGGGCTTAAATAACGGAAAATGCCATGTGCTAAGTTCACGCGGAGGTCACGCCACAACACATCTCTTTACGTGCAATCGCTCTGTTCGAGTTTTAAACTTGTTGGATTAAATTTTGGACCCGATTTCAGAGGTTAACGTGATAGCGAAGCCACTGGTGCGGTCATCCGTCCACCTGCGATTAGACAATCTTACGATCCCGCATTAGCTTAAAATGTCATGATGCCAACGTTCTCTGTCTGCACAATTTGGCACGATATGTAAGATAGTTGAGAGAAGATCTGATTAGGCGGCTACGAGACAGCCAAGGCCGTGTGGTTTACCTGTGTGAAGGCCTGATTCAGGTAAAGTATTTCGCCTTTTACTGCCGTAACTGAAGGAGACTCTTAACACTTTTTTTTCTACAGCTGTGCGGGCAGAAGATGAATAAATGCTATAGCGTTTCAAATATTATATTGTATGCAAAAGATCCTTTAAATCCCATTGGCTAGGATAGTTTCCACGGTTCCCCCTCCTCCTCCCCCCACCGCCACGGTTCACACCGCCTTCTATAGCCTGCTATATGGAGCTTTTCCACCTGTCTTCATCTACTTTGACACAGGCTCGCGTTATTGGCTGGCTGCGAGTCGGATTCTGCTCTTCTGAGTCCGTCAGTGAGAACATTACGCGCTTCGAGTTTCTGCTCTCCTCTTCGCGCGAAGACTATGCGCTCACTTGTCAGCTGTGGAGGGTGCACAAATGGCCAACCACAGTCACTGCGGAGTCTACTCGAGACCTCCTGAAGCTACAGTTCTTCCTGGTTTCCAATCATACCTTGATGGCTGGCGGTCCAACTATTGTGGTAGATGAGTACGTGCCTGCCTGATTCTGCTCTTCCCCTGTGAACCTGTCCTCAGTGCGAATTATCACCCGCTGATAGTTCAAAAGTCTGTTTTTGCTGGAGTTTATCAGAAAATGGTTTTGTGGTGTGTGAGATTCCGAAACTGCTTTGGTTGGCGAGTGATGCCCTTATTGGGTAGCTGGAGACCTTTTCATGTCCTACTACCGCCATGATGTTCTTTTAAGTTAGCCGACTTGCTAGACCGAGGTGAACTGACCTCCGGAGACACGTCTACTGCCTTGTCTGCGACTGCTTTCTCACCAGATCCGTGAACCTGTTTATTTCGCAGTCAGTCCTACCTCAAGACTTCGTGTCGATTAGTCTGCAATTAGGCCAACAAACATGCCTCCTTTCTTCTGGGACTTGTGGCGACCCAGGACGTATGCCTGTCCGATTGATGGTGTATCCTGCGGGCAGGCCATTGACACTATCTTTCTCTCTCTTTTCAAAGGCCTCTACATTATGTTGTGTGCACTTTCAAACGCCTTTTACTTTTGCTGCCCTGCTTTTCTAATCACTGTGACTGCTTTTCAGTCTTTGTAGTCTCTAGATAGGGCTGTTTGAGTAGAACTTTACAACTGCTGATATGTACCAAAGACGGGGTTCTGTTTTCAGGCGCACGATTTTTTGTCTATTTTCATTGTCTCTCGTTTTCCATGTCGTGAATTCTGAGCGCCCTACTTGATAATGATATGTGCTCTTTTGTGTATGGGTTGTGGTTTTGTTGTTCAAATTTTCTCCTTCCTTCGTTACCACAGTTGCGGGGGAAACAGAGCTGGGATCTTCTGTGCCGTCAATTTCTTGATAAACCAGTTCACTCTAGCAGGCGTTATCGACGCCTACTTCATCGTCAAAATGCTCCACTTGCAACGTGCCAAAATATTTCATTCTTATGTGAGTTCGTTGGCTATCATTCTTTTTACTGTTCCGTTATTAGTTCATTTGTTCCATACTGTATGCATGCCTTCTTGTCTTGATTTATGCAGGAAGATCTAGACTACATCTACTTGGTGCTCGAACAATTCCTGGCTGACCTGCAACAGGATGACGTCACCGAGGCCTACGCGGCAGGTTACGCCAATTTGGGTGTTGGTATCTTCAACAGTACCTCTCCATCCGCCAATCCCTTCGTTTTAAACAAATCAACCCACACGAACCGTTCAGCGAACTCCTTTGAACGGGCGCCACACTGTAGCGGCGGCGGTGGTGCTGGTGGCAGTGCCGGCGCAGGTGACCTGGTCTCCCCGTCTCAGCCAACCACCGACGACAGGGACAGTCTCATCACAGCAGGGGACTGTCATCCGGACCTGGCGGCTCTCCAGAAACTGCCAGACAGCCAGTCTGCAACTGCTGCCTTTACT